AATACACACACACACACACACACACATAAATATATATATATATATATATATATATAAAACTAACATTTAATGAATAATTTATTATTCATTAATAAAAATAATTACAAATATACCTTTTTTGTAAGAAATATTTAAGGACAAAAGATTTTCTTAATCATCTTGAATAAATTTGGGATTGTTTAGAAGAACTATTAGTTTATCGGGGCAAAATGAAAGGTTTTCTCCCCATCTCTCACCATCAGGAACAGACTCGGCCCAGCGTGGGTCACATGCAGGGTAGTCGTCCACCAGGTCCAGGTCAATCTGGGTCACGACGGCATCCAGCTCCGCACTTCCCTCTCCATCGCTGGGAAAGAGCTCGTCCACCATGCTCTGAGCTCCAACCAGATCATGACTGCAGATCAAAGCACAGCAGAGCATCTGTGAGCTGCAGTCACTGATTCAACAGTCACAAACACAAGCGAAGTGAAGGAAACTCACCGGCAGAACTGTAGGAACGCTTGCTTCAGCAGTTTAGTTTTGTCCTCCTGGGCCACCATGTCTATTTTAGGTGGCGTCTCTAATGGAGTGCCCTGACAAGGTGACAAATATTTCCTTGAATAAATTAAAACACTATAAATGCATACATACATACATATAAATTCTAAATATATTTACCAGAGACTAGTTCATGAATGAATCATACAAAAAAACTGCCAAATAATTCTAATTTTTACAAAATATATATAATTATACTTTTAAATGTATGTTTATTTTTTATAAAGGAGTGCCCTAAAAAGAATTTTTTTTTTCCAGATTTCTAGTTATAGACATTATATATATTTTTTTTTATCAGAGACTAGCTCATGAATACACAATAAACTGAAATAATTAATAAAATACTTTAAATATAATAAATGTTTAAATCGATCATATTTTTTAATTTATAATGGATAGCCCTGGAAATTTTTTTTTTACCAGAAACTAGTTCATAAATTCACAAAAACTGTGAAATTCATAAATTCTTTAAAATAATAAATGTTTACATTTATAATGAGGTGCCATGAAATGAAAAACATTTATAAACATTTACTGATTTATAGTCACTTAAATAAATTTAAACAAATTTCTTTATACATATAAATTACATTTATTTTATCAGACACTAGTTCATAAATATGCAAAACTGTGAATTCATAAAATATAATAAATGTTTACATTTATAAAATGCCAATTTATAATAAAGTGCCATGAAAAGAAAAAAAAACTGCCAATGATCCTTTTTAAATATAATATTTATATTTTTAAATTTATAACATTATAAATTATAATGGAGTGCCCTGAAAAGATGACAAATATTTCCTGATTTCTAGTTACTTGAATAAACATCAAATTGTAAATATATAAAATTGTATATATATATATATATATATATATATATATGTATATAAAA